TATGGTTAAGGTGCTTGGCTGCTAACTGAAAAATCAGCAGTTTGAACCCAACAGCTGCTCCATAGAAAAAAGATGTGGGCATCTACTTCCATAAATGTTGATAGCTTTGGAACCTTATAGGCAGTTCTATTCTGTCCAATAAGGTCACTGTAACATGAGTTACAGTCAAATTGATGTTAGTGGGTTTGATTTGGGTTTTGGTAAATAAACATGTACACACCTACCTCTAAAGACTACCAACCATTCATTCATTCACAGCATCAGTGTCAGATTTAAAGCATAAGAACCAAACATCTAAGCCAAATCCAAATGCAGATGAGACTTCTCCAATGTGGTTTTAAGGGAAGAGATATGTAAATAGAGTTGGGTTTACATTTTTAAAACAGTGCAGTTCACCTCATGATCATGTGAACGGATGCAAGAAAAGCCCAACATCTATTTTTGAACAATAAAAACTCTTAGCAAATCAGGAATAGGAAACTTTGTCTGTAAAAGGTTGTCGGTGTTGCCTTTGAGTCTGTTCTGACTCATAGCAATCCTTTATAGGATTTCCAAGGTGCAGCTGGTGGGTTTGGACTGCTGACCTTGCGGGTTCATAGTCCAGTTCTGATCCTACAGTGCTACATCTACCTAAAAAATCTTACAGAAAAATGATTTCATTTAGTGGTGATGGTTATATGCCATGAAGTCTGTTCTGACTCATAGCGACCCTGTACAGGGTTTCCAACGTTGTAAATTTTTATGGGAGTAGAAAGCCTCATCTTTCTCCTGCGGAACACCTGGTAGTTTCGAACTGCTGACCTTCTGGTTCACAGCCCAATTCGTAACCACTATGCTACCAGAACATAAATTTCACTTGTTGTTGTTAGATGTCACTGAGTCAGTTTTGACTGATAGCGACCTTATGTATAGCAGAAGGAAACATGGCCAGGTCCTGTGCCAACCTCACAATCATTGTTACACTTAAGCCTATTGCTGGTGAAATATTAAGAGCTTTCCTCTGGATATTGGGATTAAGAAAAAGACACCTGATATCACCACTTCTCTTCAACATGATGGGAGTCCTGGTGTAGCTCTGTGGGTTAATACACTGGACTGCAAAGTCAGTTTGAACCACAAGGTCAGTAGTTCTAGCTCACCAGCCACTCCTTGGAAACCTTATACAGGGTTGCTATGGGTCGGAACTGACTCATGGCACTTCACAACAACAACAATTTTAACATCATGATGCTGAACCAGGGAAAAGAAATAAAATGCTTAAGGATTAAAAAGAAATAAATACAGTCATCATTATTCATAGGTAATATAATTGTATATGAATAAGATCCAAAAGATCCTAAAGATAAACTATCAGAATTAATAGGTAATTTGAGCAATGGTTTTAGATAGTAGGTCAATGTATAGAAAAAAATCTAATGTGTTTCTATTTACTAATAATAAATATTTAGAATATTTGATAATGCCACTTGCAATAGCATCAAAAACACATGACACACCCAGGAATAAACCTAACAAAAGATGTAGCTTTTATAAAGGAAGCTACAAAAAATTGAGAGAAGTTCAAATAGTCTTAACTAAATGAGGAGATACAGCTATATATTTATATAGAGAGTATATAAGGAGCTCTGGTAGCATAGTGGCTACATGTCAGACTGATAACCTCAAGGTCAGCAGTTCGAAATTGCCAGCTAGTCCATGGAAGAAAGATGAGACTTTCTGCTCCCAAAAAAGATTTACAGCCTCAGAACCCCTATACAAGATCAATATGAATCAAACTGATTCCTCTGCATATAACCACCACCACCACCAAATTAATTTATAGATTCAATATAATCCTAATGAATAAAAAATGCTAACATATTAGCGTGAAAATATACAAATAGATTAATGGAAGAGAAAAGAGCTTCCATAAACAAGCCCATATGGTTTCTTGTTTCATGACAAAAGCAAAATTGATTTATGCTGTGGGAAGACTTGATTTTTAATAAATTGTTGTTTTTAGCTACCATTGAGTCAGTTGCAACTCATAGCGACTTCCTATTACCGAATGAAGCACTGCCCAGTCCTGTGTCATCCTCAGAATCTCTGTTATTTTTGACCCCATTGTTGTAGCCACTGTATCAATCCATCTTGTACAACAAATGTTGTTGTTAAGTGCCACCGAGTCAGTTCTGACCCATAGCAACCCTGTATAGGGTTTCCAAGGAGCAGCTGGCTGGTGAGCTTGAACCACCGACCTTGTGGTTCAAACCGACTTTACAGTCCAGCGCTTTAACAATTGACTGTCAATACATACATTAAAACTCTCACACTACACCCAAAAACCAGTTCCAATAATATTTTATATCGACATTTATAAAATGAAAGGAAAAATAAAGTTTCTTGAAGATAACTTCGAAAGTATCTTCATGACTTTGGAATAAGATTTCTTTCAAGGAGTGCAAAAAAAGGGAAAAGTTTAGTAATTGAAATCAGAATGGTTTTTCGTCAAAAGTACTATCAGTGGGTGAGAAGACAAGCCACAGACTAGGGAAGACATCTGTAATATATATATACAACAAATCATTCACGTCCAGAGTTTGAAAGAACTACAAAACAGAAAGACCAAAAACCCAGTAGAAAAAGAAGGAAACATTTAAACAGGCATTTCTTAAAAAGATATTTAAATCACCAATTAGAATGTAAAATCTGCTCAGTCTCATAATTCAACAAAAAACTGAAAACCGCACTGAGATAACACTAGTTGTTGTTGTTAAGTACCGTGGAGTCAGTTCCGACTCATAGTGACCCTGCACAGTGTTTAGGAGGCTGTAAATCTTTGTGGGAGCAGTACACTTCATCTTTTTCCCCATGGAACTGCTGGTAGTTTTGAACTGCTGACTTTAAGGTTGGCAGCCCGACTCGTAAACACTAAGTAGAATGATTACATTTATGAGATGGTACCATCAGTAACTGCAAGAATTTCAGAGCAATGAAAATTCTCATACACTGGTTGGTAGGAGTGTGAATTGGTATAAATACTTTGGAAAATAATTTATAACTACCTTCTAAATGGAATGAATATATATGTATATCTTGTTGTTGTTAAGTTGGTTCCTACTCATTGTGACGCTGTATAGGGTTTCTGAGGAGTAACTGGTGAGATTGAACTGCTGACCTTGTAATTCAAACCAACCTTGTGGTCTAGTGCTTATCTTACAGCACATCACGATTTATAACCCAGAAATTCTACTCCCAGATGTGCATATCCAACAGAAATACTGTACGCATGTACCAAGAGACATCCAGTTATGTAAGAATATTCATAGCAGTATTACTTTTGTTGGCTCCAAAAGACATGTACTAGAGACTTTCTGTTCCCTCTGAGGTTCTCCTGCTGAACTGAGACAGACTAATCTCAATTGTCAAAATCTGCCTCCATTCTGACAGAAGCCTGATGCAAATGAAGGGATATGATATCCTTGTCATAGGGAACAGAGGAGGTGGATGAGACATACAATACCTAAGATAGTATGCATCTATAGATATGAAATTAAAGCTATAATATATTTGTTGTTGCTGTTACGCAACTCTGAGTATGTTCAGACTCACAGCAACCCTGTATAGGGTTTCTGAGGAGTGATTGGTGAGCTTGAAACACTGACATTGCAGCTCAAACTGACCTTATGGTTGAGTGCTTATCCTACAGTGCCACAAGGTAGTTCAAAAAACTACCAGGACTCCATAATATGCTTATATTATATTAAATTAAATATATTTATAGAAATAAAATTAAATCCCTTGGGAAGACCGAGATCTGGGCACAGAAGAGGACATTTATTTATCAGTAAGTCAGAATGGAAACTTGACTTCCAAATTACAAGAGCAATACATTCACATGGTAATTTAAAAAAGAAATCAGACAGTAAATAAAGGCATAAAGTGAAATATCTCCTTTTCACCTGCAGTTTCTCAAATGTAATCACTATTTCTTGTGTACTTTCTTTCACAAGGGTGTGGGGGAGTGTTCTATACCAGTTTATGAGGCTACGTAACATAATGTAGTCTACTTTTGATATGTATCCCAATAAAATAATACTACAAATACCAGTCTACAACTCACTTTTTTTCTTTTCATATTAATCAGGGCAGTCTAGGTGGCACAAATGGTTAAGCACTCAGTTACTAACCAAAAGACTGACAGTTCAAATCCACCCAGAGACAACTCAGAAGAAAGAAAGGTCTGTCGATCTGCTTCCAAAAGATCACAGTCATAGAAAAGCTTCAGGAACACAGTTCTATTCTAACATAAACGGGCGTCATTGTGAGTAGTTGACTTGCTGACAATGTGTGCCTTCTCAGCATGTACTGGTTTACCTCATTCTTCTTAATGGTTGCATTTAATGTCATTGTATGGATGTATGGTGGTGATGATGTGCCGTGGAGTCAGTTCCCACTCATAGCGACCCTGCATAGGGTTTCTGAGGCTGTAAATCTTTATGGGAGCAGAAAGCCTCATCTTTCTCCCATGGAACAGCTGGTAGTTTCAAACCACTGACCTTGTGGCTAACAGCCCAACTTGTAACCACTATGCTACCAGAGCTTCTTGTGGATATATACGAATATTTTTACATAGTGTCATATCTATGATCTTTGGTGTTTCTTGTCATGTTTAGGCAAGTGTGAATGATGTTTCAGTGAACACCCTTGTACGACTATCTTCTCATTCTTTAGTTAAGGTAATTTCCCAACAGTAGCAATCGGGGTATGTGCTTTTAAAACACCCTAGCATTTATTTTCTCATTCTGATCATAGGGCAGGAAAATATGATTAGTAGTTAAAGACGCATACTCCCACTTCCCTTTTTTCATTTACTGTTGCATCTTGCTCTTTTCAGAAGATAGTTTCTTGAAGATACTCTTCAGAACTGGTGTGAATGGTGTACAGACTTGTAAGATCAAAATCAAGCTGGTTATCCTGAGAAAACCTCTCTACTGGTCTTGATCCTGGGCCAGGTCTTCATGCTGCTGTGGGTGTCACTGCTGGTCCTGGGTGAGTTGATAACTCAGCATAGGCTCTGGAAGACAACAGGGTCAGTTGGACAGCTTCTCTTTCACTCTCTCTCTCACAGGCATGCACTTTTCTTGGGGCTTAGCTGCTGTTCAGAGATTCTCTTCCTCTTGAAGAGAACATATTCTTGGGTTTCTCTGTACAGGCCAAGGCTTCCTCTTTTGAGGCTTAAGAATATGGTCAAAACTGAGGGGAAAACTTTTTTTAAATCTTGTAGAGTAGAAAACTGTAATTATGAAAACAATTTGGATTTCTTCCAGTTTTATTTTCAACAAGTCTATAAAATGTGTTTTGTTGGTTTTGTCTTAGAGAAGATCCGTCTCTGCAAATGACAAAACCAAATCCTGATGCTGGACTTGGTTGGTTGGTTGGTTATGTGCTGTGGAGTCAGTTCCGACTCATAGAGACCCTGTACAGGGTTTCTGAGGCTGTAAATCCTTACGGAAGCAGAAAGCCTCATCTTTCTCCCATGGAACAGCTGGTAGTTTTGAACTGCTGACCTTACCGTTCGCAGCCTGATTCGTAACCACTATGCTACCAGAGCTCTAAATCCTGATCCTGGACATGGGGAGGGCAAGATTTCTTACATGAAATATGTTGCCTTCCTCTACATATAAGTGCAAACCACATTAGTGATTAATTGAATAAGGAGATGACTGGAGAGCAGGGAACCAAATCAAAAACCAAACTCACTGCCATCAAGTTAATTTCAATTCATAGTGAGCTTGTGTAGGGTTTTCAGGGCTATAAATCTATGGAAGCAGAAAGCCTCATCATTCTCCTGCAGAGCAGCTGGTGGGTTTGAACTGAAGAGCTTGTATTTAGCAGTCCATTGCGTATCCTATAGTGCCACACTAGTCTCCTTGGAGAACAGAGAAGCAAGGAAAAATATAAGAAATGTGACATCTTATTTGCATCTGTGGTGTGCATAAATGCCTATCATTTTGTACTTATAAGGATTGATTTGTACCTAAGTTTAAGATATTATTCATTATTCAACACATGTTTATTTACTAATATCTCTGCATAGCCCTGTACTAAGTACTGAGAATGATGGGGTGAGTCGAAGGAAACTCTTAGTATAGAAGAATCTTAGTGAGGTCAATGTGTGAGAAATAACCATGTCACAAAATCTCAGTTAAACAGCCATCTGTGATGCTATGGTTTGAATTCAGTTGGCAGTTCAAACCCATCCAGCAGTGCTGTGAAAGAAAGGATTGGAGATCTGCTTCCACAAAGATTGCAGCCAAGAAAATTCTATGGAGCTCAGTTCTACCCTGTAGCACATGAGGTCCCCATGAGTCAAAATCCATTCATTGGCATTAGTTTTTATTTGTTTAGGCAAGAGTATATGGTTCAGGAAGCTAATACACATACACTGTGTGCCAAAAGACTTTGTGAAAGACAGACAGTAAGTGGGACTTATAGGTAAAAATGGAGTCCTGGTGTAGCACTGTGGGTTAATGCACTAGACTGCAAAGTTGGTTTGAAGGGCAAGGTCGGCAGTTCAAGTTCACCAGCTGCTCCTCGGAAACTATGGGTTGGGACCGACTCGATAGTACATAATAATGACAACATAAGTAAAGATAAAATTGGAGGAGGAAACGCAGGATTGGACAAGGATGTAAGAGAAATTGACTCCATAGTTTAAATTTATATGAACTAATCCAGAAAATGGAAGAACATTCCATCCAGAGGCACGGGGAAGAGTAATGGCCAAAGGACAAGGGCTTTGTGGTCAAATAGGATATAGACTCAAAATTCCATTCAAAATGCCACCTACTAGCTACTCAAACTACAGTAATAGTCTGTGAAATGGGAATAATCATACTTACCTCGTAAGATTGTTGACAAGATTACATGAAATAATATATGTGAATGCGTCACACTTAGAAAATCCTACACATACAAAACCCTCAGAAAAATATTGTTGTTGTTAAGTGCCGTAGAGTCGGTTCCGACCCATAACGAACCTGTGCAGGGTTTCCGAGGGTGTAAATCTTTACAGGAGTAGAGAGCCTCATCTTTCTCCTGCAGAGCGGCTGGTAGTTTCGAACTGCTGACCTTAAGGTTCGCAGCCCGATTCGTAACGACTACGCTACCAGAGCAAAATATTAGCCGTGCTTAATACAACAAAAAGACTATGCTATCTACATAATGAAGAATAAAACAGTGTTTCTACAAAACTCCTCCATTGGTCCCAAGCAGACAGAGGCGATATCTCCTTCGCTCATTCCATTGCCTTGTCCAGTTCTTTGCATATGGTAGCATTCTAAAAACTTCTATTGAATGGATGAATCAAATATGGTCCTCCTCCAGCATGTTTAATAAATTAATAAACATGCCAATTTTACTTCTTCTCTCTCCCTGTCACCCATTTCTCAAATTTGGATCCTCTTATCTCTGGAGTCCTGGTGTAGTGCTGTGGGTTAATTCGCCAGACTGCAAAGCCATTTGACCTGCAAGGTCCATGGTTCAAGCTCACTAACTACTTCTCAGAAACTCTATACAGGGTCGTTCTGGGTCAGCATCGACTTGATGACACTTAACAACAACAACATCTCTATTAGTATAGACTTAGTTATTTAACTAATTCATTATTCAATAAATAGTTGTGGAGCATCTTTTATATGCCAGGCACTATTCCAAGGTCTTTGAAAATAAGAAAGAAGTCTCTGCTCTCATGAAGTTTCCATTCTAGAGAGGGAAAATGAGCAACATTAAATAAGTAACCATGATTATATCAGATAAACAATGAAGGAAACAAAACATCACCTGACTTCTAACCAATCTCTCTGCTTCAGGTCTGCCCATTGTCAGAGTGATCCATCTAAGCTGCAAATCCTAACATTGTCACTCTCCTATTTGAAAACTCTCCATGGCTCCCCATCACTTTTATAATCAACCTGCTCTGCAATATAATCACTGACCTGCAAACCATCAGGTCGGTGATTCAAGTCCTCCAGCAGCTCTGTGGGAGAGAGATGAGGTTTTCTGTTCCCATAAAGATATACAGCCTTGGAAAACCTATACAGGGTTGCTATGAGCCGGAATGAACTTGATGGCACTAACAACAGTGTCAATGCTTACCACCCATGACATGGGCCTTGCACATCTCTCTAATCTTGTTTCCCCGATATTTCCCCTCCAACTCCTAAACAACAATGCTGTTTTCTCACTTCTGTTCATCTTTGGATCCCTGTGTGGTACACATGACTGAACTACTAACCGAAAGGTTGATGATTTGTCTCTGGTTTCTGAAAATAACTCCTAGAATTTGCTAGCAATCAAGGAGCTTTTGTTTTATAAAATAGCCCAGACTTAACCATGTACAAATTAGTAGGGACCACATAGGACCCACCATAGCAACAGGCCTGGGGAAAGAAGAGATACATGCACCCAATCATGCATCTCCATTGCTTGGATGGATAATAACTATGCATAAGGCCCCAGTCATGCATAATTATTGATGTTCTAACTTTTTTTGCAGTTTCCCAGATTGGTGAGAACATCCATGCTTGGGAGAAGGTACAGCATTTCCCTGAGGGCAATGGGAGCTTCCTGGTTCTGAGACCTCTCCTAGACCTTGTCTGATGTGTCTCTTCCTTTATATCCTTTCTGATTACAGTATATAACGTTGTTGTTGTTGTTAAGTGCTATTAAGTGAGTTCTGCCTCAAAGCAACCCTATCCAATATATGTAATATTGTTGTTGTTAAGTGCCAATGCCGCCCAGCCAGTTCTGACTCACAGTGACCCAGGATAGGATTTCCGAGGAGTGGCTGGGAAATTTTAACTGTAGACATTGAGGTTAGCAGTTCAGTGCTTATCCTACAGTGCTACAGCAGTACTCTAGTATAGGTAATGTTGTTGTTGTTAAATGCCATCGAGTAAGTTCTGACTTACAACAACTCTGTGTAAGGTTTCCGAGGAGCGGTTGGTGAGTTTGAACCACCGGCCTATGGTCGAGCGCTTATTTTACAGCGCCACACTAGGACTTCAATATAGGTAATTATGCAATTGCTGTTAAGTACTGTCAAATCAGTTCTGACTAAAAGCAACCCAGTACAGGGTTTCCAAGGAGTGGTTGGTGAGTTTGAACCACCGACCCTGATGCTCAACTGGACCTTGTGGTCCTGTGCTTATCCTACAGCACCACAGCAGAATTTCATTATAGGTAATGTTATTGTTATTGTTAAGTTCGTCAAGTCGGTTCCCACAGTGACTCTGCATAGGGTTTCCCAGGAGCGGCAGGTGAGTTTGAGCCTCCTGCCGACCATGCAGTTCAAACCGACTTTGCAGTCCAGCTCATTAACCCACAGCGCCACACCAGAACTCCAATTTATAGGTAATAGTCCCTGTGAATTCTATGAGTTGTTATAAAAAATTAATTAACCCACAGGGGCAATGAACCATCAGAGACAAACAGAACAGAGTGAATTTGTGAAAACCCCAGTGACACAGAGAGGCTGTACAAGCAGTCAAAGATGAAGGATCCAGCCCTTCTAGCTTGGGACCTAGACCCAGAGGACAGTTGTTAAGTGCCATTGAGTGGGTCCTAATTTATAGTGACCCTGTATAGGGTGCCCAAGGACTGATTGGTGGGTTTGAATGACCAACCTTGTAGTTAACAGTCTAGTGCTTATCCTACAGTGCCGCAGCAGAACTCCAGAGAATTAGAGAGAAGAAACCCTGCTGATAGGAATTGCCGGAAGTGGTGAAGACTCCTGCACCTATGGCTGTTGCCTGATGACCTGGCCCCAGGTGGTCAGGGATAAAGACTGACCTAACTCTAGGATCAGAGAGAAAGTGCAAGGAAGTGGCTGCTAGTGTGGTAGAAGATAAGGAAAGGGGAAGCCTGGATCCATTTTCAGATGGAAATTGGATTCATGCTGATTCTTTCCATGTAATTAATGATCAAGGTGGGCTTTGCCATGTACTTTACACACATGGGGTCATTATAAATCAAAATTGACTTGACAACAATTGACTTGGTCCGATTTGGTCCCATTTATGACTGTGGGTCAGAACCAATTTTATGGTACTTATAACAACTTGCCTTGAGTATTCTCCACACCACCTCTTGTCACATACAAACACTAACCTTTGCCTGGGTGGCTCCTATGTTCCCATTCACAGATTTCTCATGCATTACCTACTTCAGGTACCTTCCATAATCCACTCTGCCCTCTTCACCAAATGCACACTGGATGGCCCGTCTGCCCCTAAATACTTCATATATACTTCTATTATTGTGCTTACAACCTGTGTTATATCACTTTGTTTCACATTTCTCCCACCTGGCAACTTCTTAAAGTAGATTACATTTTTTATTCATCTTAGAGGGGAATGTTATGGCTCTGTAAGCATAAGCACTGAACTGCTAACCACAAGGTCAGTGGTTTGAGCCCACCAGTTGCTCTGCAGGAGAAAGATGAGTCTGCTCCCACAAAGATTTACAAGTCTTAGAAATCCTATACAGGGCAGCTTTGAGTCTGAACAGATTCAACAGCACTTAAGAACAACAGAACCAATTCATCTTAGATGTTGAAGCACAATGCCTCAGATATATTAGACATTCAATGAATATTTTTTCATTTTTTAAGTGAATTCTTTAACGAAACAAATAATAAATGAATGGAAAAAATAGGTCTTACTATTGAAAACTCAAAGATCATCATTTTGTGCTCATTTCTGGCTATTTACTTATTTTATTTATTTTTGCAGCTCCCATCAGTGGAAAATTTGGTGAGTTCCCCTTTGTTTTGTTCTTCAGTTTCTCTGGCTAAGCATGTCTCCCTAATATATATGAAATCTTTGTAGTGGCTTCCAGAAAATCCTTGTTGTTGTTGTTGTTGTTAAGTGCCGTCGGGTCTGTTCTGACTCATAGCGACCCTGTACAGGGTTTCCGAGGGTGTAAATCTTTACGGGAGTAGAAAGCCTCATCTTTCTCCCGCGGAGCGGCTGGTAGTTTCGAACCGCTGACCTTAAGGTTTGCAGCCCGATTCATAACCACTATACGCTACCAGAGCTCCCCTGTTTTTCTTGCTGTGTCCCACATGGATGTAAAAGTGTCATCTGGCCTGTTGGCATCCCCCAAGGGCCAGCATGGCTTCATGGTCACCATCTGGTCCTCCCTGGGTGAGGGGGTGAATTATAAGCAGCTTCTTGTCCTATCTTGTTATTGTTGTTAAGTGTTATCAAGTTGGTTTTGACTCATAGTGACCCTATGTAGGGTTTCTGAGGATCGGCTGGTGAATTTGAACCAATGGCCTTATGTTCAAACCGACCTTGAGGTTCAATGCTTATCCTACAGCACCACACCAGGACTCCTTGTCTTCACTAAACCCTGCAATTTTTCCCTGTTGACATTTGACAGTCAGTGAGTCCTGTTGGTGATGTTTTCTTAAGATCTTTTTATTCATTGCCATCCCCTGAACAATAATTTTCCCCCAGGGGAGGTGAGTGCTGCTGGCTCTGTTATGCAGCCTTTAGTATGCAATGATCCTTCCAGGGATCCTTCTTTGGGATTCTCCAAACTGGGCTCCTCTAGTCTAACCCACATGAATCACAGTACTGGTATTGCTGCACCTCTACCTCACAGTTTTTTCTTCTTCTCAGCAACTGCTCCCAAGTCTGTGATTTCTCTCTCTCCTCCATGGAACACACTCTTCCAAGGAGAGACGGTATCTTTGACTTGTAAGGGATTTGACTCCTACTCACCAAGAAAAATAAGATGGTACCATGATACCATCAAGAAAGAAAACACAAGCGATACCATAGAGGTCCATCATTCTGGAGACTACAGATGCCAGATCCAGGACTTACCCTTCAGTAACACTGTGCACTTGGACTTCTCAACAGGTGAGAAAGGCATTTAAAGAATAAAACTCTAGAATTTATTTCAGTCAAACTTTATCTCTAACTAGCACCATTCACTTCAGACAACCTGTGAGAAATAATGTGGCACTGTAGGATAAGCACTGCACTGCTGACACACAAAGTTAGCAATTCAAACCCACCAGTTGCTCCTTGGAAATGCTGTATGGGTCACTACGAGTCAGAACTGACTAGACAAGAGCACTTAACAACAACAACAGCATACCACAGATAATCAATTAAATTTGCTTCTTAAATTTAAATAGAAAACTAAGAAATGCTCAATTATTTGAATCGCTCATCATTCATTCAGCCCAATGAGCAGTGACACCAAAAAATCATATCTAGAAGGACAAATTTGTCTTATGTAACAGATCAAAGCTATCAGTGAACCCTACAAACACTACAATTTCCACTGAACTACTAATGTTTCTAAATCTGTGTTCTCTGGTTTGAATCAGAAATTGCCTGGCAAGCTTATAAACATACAGATGTCTAGGGAAAACCGTATAATTACTGTATCAAAATCTATAGGAAGTAGGCCCAAGGATTTAAAAAAAAAAAAAAAAATACTGCTCGTGTAAAAGGAAATTTGAGAAGAAATTTATCTGAATAATTCCTGAATCCGTGCATAATTTGAAACCTATAAAATCATCTTGAAATGATAAGAAGCATGAGATTTTTTGTAGATATATACATATATGCATAAATTTAAAGGGAAAAAAAAGTTACCTTTAAGTGAATTCTGATTCATGGTGACCTTATGTGTTAGAGAATAGAACTGTTCCATAGGGTTTTCTTGATTGTAATCTTCTCGGAAGCAGATCTCCAGGCATTTCTTTCATAATACCATTATTTGAGCTCAAACTGTGGCCCTTTTGGTTAATAGTCAAGCACAAACCATTTGTCCCACACTGAAATATAGATA